TTAAGTATTTTGGACTTTTCATGTCCATTAATTTATATTATTTATACCATTTTACCATGTTCTCATTTATTGCTATGAACAATGTATAAATTACATATTATTCACGTTCCCGGGGTATAATCACTTATTGGTTGACAATGATAAAAAAGAACTGGACTAAAATTTGTGAATATACGTTATATGGCCGTCGAGATCTCATTGAGTGCGGGAAAGCCACGAGAGTTGTATTTACTTTTATCCTCTTCCGTCATCACCTCCACTGTTTGTTCCACTGGCACTAATGCTAGATGCCTTAAATACTAAAGCCATCTAAGGGTTCAATCTTTAACTCGGGCCAGATGGTAGGTTATGGAGAATGTATTTTTTTTTATATTACGGGTAAAAATTTCACACACTAAGAGAAGAGCAAGTAAAATTGTAGTAGCAACATCGTGTCGAAAATACAGCTTAAATTTGGTACAAGGAAACAAGTAATCAGTCCAGTAGTTCCACCATCCCACCCCCACAAAATAATTGGAATGGTCAGTATATAATATCCACTCATCAAAATGGTCGCCATCATTGAGTATATAAGAAAAATACAATTTTGTTTCCATGGAGACAAGTCTGAATACCTTTTCATTTTGTCAAAAACTGAGACACGTATTCTAATTGTCCGGCATCTGTAGAAAATATATTTACTTGAAAATATAGGTTTTCCTATTAATGGTTTCCATCCATTGTTACATGTGCATCGATGTCAATACTTGGGCGGCGACGGAATGACAAAGAAATGTCGTCGTACATCCCTTAATCAGGTCCAAATTCTTGATGCATTGAATAACTTAAACGGTATATAACAACATTGTTCATGGAAATATCAATATTGTTTTAACATTCCCAAACGCACTGTAAATAATCACGAGGAGAGATGCATACGCATAGGTAGAAAACAAATAAATATTTTTTTTCAGTAAAAATGTCTTTCTTCTTATCTCAGACAGTCATAACAGGATCGTCAGGTCACTGTGGGAGGTATAAGCGAAATTAACAACAGTCGACATCTCTTACTTCCATTCAATTAAATCGACTAATTACACGGAATAGCCTGATGACCAATAATATCTTATTCACTCAAGCATGGAATCATTTTTTTTTATCATGTTACTCCGATATATCTGTCAGATGATGGAAAATAACATCAATTGCAGTCACCATGGTTACATATCGATATACACACGACTGCATTGTGTTCATCATTAAAAATACGTGACACCGCGTTGTAACAACAAGTGTCTCGTTTATTAAAAGTCAATTCAATTCCTGCTTTACTAAATTATATATAAACATGATACGTATATAAATAATTGAACAGAAGTCGTTGTTTGTTTAACAACAAATAACCCACAGATGAGGATGGCAAATAGATACAGTAGTCTGAATTTAACAACGCTGGGAGATAAGCAAACGGATAAAAACTGATGTTGAGCATGGAAAGTACAGTGGTTGTCGAGGTAACTGATACTTTCAGATATATATGGCGTTTGTCTCCACCAACATATCCTGTCTAGAATAAAACAGGAGGTGAAAGGATTTTGGTCAATAATAAATTGTCAGAACCAGGGAAAGCCAACACTTGATTACACAACGTGGATTAGACATTTCCCAAAAGGCAACAATAACACCAGTAAGTAACCAAGAAAAAACAGTCACGTGGACGAAAAATTTGAACTTAAAAACAACAATATCATGAACAGACTAATTAATAACATGACAAGAGCCTAAGAAAAACAAAGCCAATGGTCAACGAGGCATACATGAAGGATTCTTACAATATACCTAAACAATGATAAAAAATCCCTCAAAATATAAAACTAAATTAGAGAAAATAACACTTTAAACCAAACGGCTTCAAACGAGAACCAATCATAAATAAAATTTACCGATCAGCAATTAGGCGCAGGAAAGCACAGCGCGACAGGTGTGTTTGTGAGGGCGTAGCCCGAAACAGCTTACCGATGTCCCGTGGTGTTTGCTATACACTGGCGGTTTTACTAGGTAAGATCAACATAATATGTTGACACTGACAACACAGAAGCCAGGACCACGCCTGCTTCATTGCGACTTGAAACAACTCTACTCCAAACTATGAAAAATTAATATATATATTCAGACCAATTGCTTTTAAGTTTGCTGGGTGAAATTATGGCTGGTCTCGCATTAACGCAAGAAATCACCAGTTGCAACGCGTTCGCTGTTTGGCTACTCGCTCTAGCAATAGCTATCGTATAATGTATTTTTCTATAACTATTATGATCACCTAAAAACATTGCAGACTTTGTACTCCAAGATATTAAAAAGAAAAGCTACGCTCGATCATGGATGTGACAACTAGAACCGAATATAAAGACATTTAAAATATATTGCATAAAAAAACTAATTACTTCAGTCAGGGAATATTACATTGTAAAGTGAAACAATGGCAATAGTGGGAATAATGAAAACAACAATGAAATATTACATCGGTACATAAAAAATAACCAATCGATCAAAGCATTTGCCAATTTATAGATCAACTGTGACGAAATATATTCACTTTAATTTATAATTATGACTCAAATGTGCTTTTTTTTGTTTTCGTTAGTTTTAGTTTTAGTTCATTTTGTTTCTATGAAAGGCGTTATTGACTTTAAAAAACATCTATTCTATTCTATTCTATTCTATTCTATTCTATTCTATTGACTCACGGTCGCCCGAGGACACAGTGACACAAATGCAATTTTGTAATTAACGATATTACGCTATTAATTATCTGAGATAGATACTATATTTAATTATTAACGTAATTGAATGGAAAACTTCGAAAGATTAAACTCAAGAACATGACAAATGTCAAAACAATATATACTTTTATTATAATGTTTACTGATGAGTATCCATGGTTACATAGATCAATAACGCCATGCCCCCCTCTTGGGAATCCAAAAGAAAACAATTTCGAAAGCGGTCGTGATATTGGTATGACTGTTAGATTGGGTAGCCAATCAGGCGCATCGACTTAAAGCATGTTGTAAGAGGTTTAAGGCTCAGGCCACTCAAAAGACATTTATGTACGTTATTTTCTACCTGAATGAATACGAGTTACCCCAAAAATAGTATATTTAGCCAAATATATTATTTAATATTATCCCTCTAGTATGCAATAGTCAAAAGTGGTCACATGATCGTTTGATAAATATGGTTAGTGTCCCTCCCCCAGTGTATTTCTGATCTTCGACGTAATTGTGTGTATAACTGGTTTCTGGTGCCATAACATCCGGGACACTTAGACTATTGTAGACGATAAAATGATGGATGACACTTTCCAATGCGTTTCTCTACTGGGGCTGATTTGGGTTCTGCGCTTCGCCCCAGTTTTATCTAGTTTACTGACTCGTTGTTTTCTTTCGAGACAATAAAACAATTATTTATCCTTGTTTTAGCAATATAAGGAATTTGTATTGGGCTGAGCATTCGACTTCGGTCAATAACAACCACATGGGGGACGCCAATTCTTTATATCAGCCTCAGGCGAGACCAATAACTATAAAATATTTTTAAATAATAACAGGCCACCGTGTATTGTCAATCGTTACACATCATCTGGACATGGTGTGTGTTTATTCCAATCATTCACAAATATAGTTAGCATGTCAATCTCTTTTTTTTTCTAAATAATGTATCGTAGTTGTTTCCCTAAATTACTGGGCTGTTCTTTATTCCCGAAATAATGAACAGTGCGTCGTCTTTCATTCCAAAAATGATGTCGTCGCGTCGTCCATTATTCTCTCAATAATGGACAGCGCATCGCCCTTTATTCCCACATAATGGGCAGCACATCGTCCTTATTTTTTTTTAAATAACGGTCAGTGCGTCGTCCTTTATTTTCCAAGTAATGGGCAGTGCATCGCCCTTTATTCCCACATAATGGGCAGTGCATCGTCCTTTATTTCTTAAATAACGGTCAGTGTGTCGTCCTTTATTTCCTTAATAACGGAAGATGTATTGTCATTTATTTACTAAATTTTCTTTTTCCACCTGTACATACAACTCTATTTAGAATCCTTCCTGACAATAATATCATCCTCATACTAGTAGTAGTAGTACTAGTAGGGCAGTTTTCGAAACAACACCGAGCACTGAGTAAAAATAAAAACAAAAGAAATTCAATTTATGGCACATGGGGACATTTGAGATTCTCCGTCTAAAACATGTTTTAAGCCATATGTGGAGCATAGCTTGTCACTCACGTGTTGCCAAGAATAATGGAAACAATTACAATATAATAAAACTGCATAGTAAAAATAAAATATAATATATAGCATAAAATTAAATTCACCTCGCACATTACGTCAGATTTGACTCACATTGATATAGCCCCCCCCCCCAGCGTATGTTCTGTCCCTGGTGCCATATTGTGCTCTGGTGCCATAACATCCACGGCACTTAGATTGTTGTAGACGTCGTTACAATGATGCATGGGTGCACTGACGGTTTGTAACCCCGATGGATGACACTTTCATGTGCGTTTCTCCACTGGGGGATAATTTCTATTTTAACTCTATTTTATTCTAATTTTTATTTTAAGTTTTACCTCACTCACTGCTTGTTCTCTTCAATAATTATACTAGAACAATCGACTTCTTGGTATAGACCCCAGGCGAGGCCATGTTAGTACACTTATTACAGGCGAGGCCATGTTAGTACACTCATTACTGCCACTAAGAAGAATATGTTTTTGCCGGTGTTTGTTTGTCTGTCTATCTGTCTGGCTGCAGAACAACTCAAAAATTGGAGAAACGAACCCATTAAATTGTATGAACGACGTGAATTTGGTTGCCATGGTAACAACAATTTCGAGAAAACGTTTTCACTTGTAACACAAATAGGTATTAGTAAAGCTACAAACTTGCATTCGTGGTAGAGGCTTGTGCTTTTGGAATGCCTTCTATTTTACAAATGTTTTCTTTTTCTTTTTTCAGTGAATTCTTTGTCTCACGAAAAACAGATCATTGAAGACATCTTATCCACTTATAATAAACGTGGACGACCTGTACTAAGTGACAGCACTGTGGTGGATGTCTCACTAGATGTGTCAATCAAACACGTCGTTGACATGGTAACGAACACTATAAATTACTACACGCATATGTTAGACAATGATAACATATGAATATATATATCGATACACTGATTTTAATTGGTTTTATGAGATTTAATAATTGTACTGAGTAATAATAATCATGCAATTTAGAACAGATTTATATTTATTGATTTTCAAGCGGAATAAACCTGGAAACACGCCTCACTTCAGAATGATACAGTCAATGCACTGGCACCATACTAATAACTAAAGTGAAAAAATTATTACTTTTGAGTATTGTTGAGCATTTTGTTTAATATTTGTATCGAAACAATATATGATAAAAAATAAAAAGCCATCGTTTTAGCAGCGAACAATGAATGAAAGAATGAATGAATGAATGAAGGAACAAAGGATAGAACGATGGATGGCCGGCCAGCCGGTCGGCCGGCCGGACGAACGAACGAACGAAGGCATTTAATGACCTTGTTTTCTCTCTCAACGTTTTGCTATGTAGGAAAACAAGAATCAGGTCATCAATATGTTGGTGTACATCAGTCAGGTAGGTGGTTGACCTTTAGGGCCGTGTGGGAGATTTAGATTTACTTTATGATCTATACACATTGTTCACTTGATTGTCATTCCGGGATTTTTGCATAATGAAGAATTCTCTCATGACGCAAACAGTGCTTAAAGTGATATTATCGGATGTATTTGTTAACAGCCTTTCATGTGTACTTTAAGTAATACCGAATGTAATAAGTACGGTATTCCCCACTACATCCGGGTCAGAGGTTGATTGTAAATACCCGAAGATTACCGAGCGTATACGTATGTATACTGTGATTCAATTTTCGGTATCTTAAGGTAGCGAGAAGGGAAATTTTCACTTTTTTCTTGATTTTTCACAAATTGATAAAACGGTTACTTTAGACCTTGATACATCACCCCGGGTTTACAAAAGATCGAAATTGCGAAATAACGTTGCTCAAATTAGTGTTTTAAAACACTAGCAGAAAAGACTACAACTGGCGTTTCGTGGATATTTGCATAATGTTTATCTTTGAAAGGGTTTAAATGATAACATCTTATCTGTATACTCTGCTGTTGACGATTCTGATATAACGGGTGATAAGCTTCCAGTTGCAAACAATGCGTGTTTATCTAACGTCCATTGTCAGCATTATTGTCAGTCGAGACTTCGACCGAGAAAC